TATGAACAGCTAGTTCAGAGGCCAAAAGTCACTTGTAGCAAGTACAGAGGATAACTTCTGAATAAATGAATATATTGGCGGAAATCATAAGCTGCTTACAGGGTGTTTGCAAACAGGAACAGAGAGTACATTCATCAAAGAAATTACTCAGTTTGAATAATTTGTTCAGCTCAGAGCATGTTTACCTGCCTGTGAGGGGAATGGGGAAGTTTAATTGGCAAATGTTTGTATTGTGCTTTGAGACAGTTGTATGAAAGGGAAGCGTCCTTGATGTTTCTGGGGTTATAATTCCTTCTGTAGTTTGTGTGAATGCCTCCTTTTTTCAGGGTTGTATAAAGAAGGGATGCAGTCGTTGTTGGCAACACGTGCACGTGGGAGAGATCGCAGAAAAAGATGTCTTTACTCCCCAGAGCACCCCGGGTGGGTCTGCCCTGCCTGCAGAGCCAGCCCCACACACCCACCTGTGATCTGCAGGCACCCAGGGGTGGAAGCAGCTGGGCACAGACCGCCCTAGGGTGTTACGGACCCTGAGTACCCAGGCAGAGTTGTCTCTGCTTCAGCTGATGTTGGATATGGCCCTTTTTATCAAAAAGGCCTCAGTATCTTATTTTAGCCTAACCAGGTTTTGCAGAGTAAAGCATCTTGCATGAAAGCAGTGAAGCTGTGGTTGCATCTGTTCTGTCCAACTCACTGGCTGCTCTTTAGAGGAACTGTAAGAAAACTGCAAGTAAATGTGCAGATGTAGAAAAGCACATACAGGTCTGAACTGGGCAGGAAAGTACTCTATAAACACCTTAACAAACAGAGTGTCTCATTACTCAAAATCTAGAGAGAATCCTTCTCAGTTACATCACCATTGATTTTTTGGAAATGGATGAGTGTCACTGGGAGCAAAATTTGGCCCATACAACTAAGTAATAAATATCTTTTTTCAGGAAGTATATTTATAAACAAAGAGTGAGTCTTGTATCTTCAAGTTACATTTGCAAAGCTACTGCCTGAAAATTGGCATGGTTCCTTCCAGTCAAGGGATCTTGGAGACAGTTTTGCTGCATCACAAGCTGCAATAGTATCTCTGAGGCTTTGAAAATGAGCACCAGTGTCTCTGCAAACAGGATACTATTTGTGAGTTCTAATTGGAACCAGTCATGTCTGAATGCTGCAGACTTTGAAATAAGGGGGCTAACTTAAGAAAGCTATTCAAGGTCTATCCACAGTGTTTCCCAGATACACAGGGGTGAAGAGCTTACTGAGATCAAGGCCCAGCGTGAGATTCTGCTCTGAACTTGAACTGAATTGAACAAATTTTGTGTGTGTGTGTGTGTGTGTTGTTTTGAAGACATTGCTTCAAATATCTTCCTTCCTCTCCTCCCTAGCTTGGCAGGAACTAGATGCAAAAATATTATAAGACAGGCTTTTGCAAAGGGGGAATTGAGTCATAGAGAAGCTGAATACCATATATTTAAAGTCAGTGTTTGTCTTCACACTTAATAAAACTGGTGATTGGAAGAGGTAGGGGGGAAGGGAAGGGACAGTGGATCATCTTGTATAACTCTGTGATAGTCGTGTAGAAGCAACTGACCTGGCTGAGAACTTAATTTTAGCTTTTGCCACTTGGCTGGAAGCTCTAGGTAACACATTCAAATACACTCTTGTATTTTGGTGCAACAGTCTGTCTCTTTAAATGCTTCCTTAAAGCCAATAGGCATTGAAAAGAATTTTCTCTGGCAGGAGGTAGTTGTGCAACTTCACACGTTTAAAAGGGTTACCAGCACTACCTTGGTTGCACTCATGGGGTCCTTGAGGACTGAGATGAGGAAAATACTGTTGATTGTGCACTCCATCCTCTTGGTGAGCACAGGCTGGCCTCTTCCAAAAGCTGTCCCTGTTGACAGCCTGGGTGGCTCTCACAGCCCTGGTGGGTGCTCTGGCAGCTCTGTTGTTGCAGTGCTCAGAACCCAGGCACAGTGTTCTACAGGTCTGTGTGCAGGATTTGCCAGGATCTTATCTCCACTGCAGAATTATTCTGCAATCTCACTTCTGCTTTTAAAAATTTACTTTCTAGCACTCAGGGCTGCAGGAAAAGTCTGAAAACTGGGACAGGAGTGTAAACCAATGCCATACTGGCTCCCTGAGCTTAGAAGGGCTAGGGAACATTTGCTCAGAGTCCTTGGAACTGTTCCATACCCTTCAGTCAAAGTCCTGTGGGTTTGGGGCATGGGCTGTGTCACTTCAGCATTGTTCTAGAATTTGTGGTTCTGTCACAAGTGGGAAGTGGAGGCTGTTTTTGTCTTGTTGAGGGATTTGCTTTCAATAGCTTCTTGGGAGAAGGTCTTCAGAGGATTATGTGCTTCTTGAGGTACTGCATAGAAACTTGGATCAACAAGGATTCAGAGACTTGGGAATTCATCTTGCACCTAAGAAATGGAAGTTTTGTGACTGTCTCTCTCCAGGGCAGAATGCAAACATCAACACTTTGCATGTTGAGCTGAGACGGGGTTACAGAGAGCAGGGTTGCCTGGGAGCCTGCCAGGAGGTGTAGGAAAAACTCATGAAACCAAGGTGTGTTTTGAGTGGAGAGACTTGTGTCTCTGCGAACAGGAGACGAGGTATGAAAGGATAAGGTAGCAGATATTATTTCTGGGAGGCAGGAATTGGTAGGATTATTAAAAAACCCCCAAACAAACACCCCCCCCTTCAAATCTCCCTCCCCCCCAAACAACAACAACAACAAAAGGCTAAAGAAAAAAGAGAAAGAACACCAGAATTTGACTAACTGAATATATGGATATGCTGTAATAATTTGCAATAGACAGAAGGTGGTTTTTGATGAAGTTGGCCTATGCAGAACTAGACTAGTGGGACCAAGGACTTCTTATTAAGATGGGAAAACCTGGCCCCAGGATAGAGTCTAGCTTGGGCTGTTTGCTGTTGACATTTCTCTGCAGTGTAAACTTGAGAGTTTTCTCAGCTGGATATATCTTGTTGGCCCTCCACTGTTTACAGATTTTCTTTAAGTTGGGGTTGGAGTGAATCTGTACAAAATATTTAAAATCTGAAGTCTTATGTGATAGTGAATGTTCTTTTGTTGTGATGCAGTGATACATGGAAATCCTCAAAATTAGAATGAATGGAAGAGCAGATGGGCTCTGATCAGGAAAACCATAAATTGTAATTCTCTTGGTGTGTATTATCTTGTGGTTTGCTTTAGTCTTCATTTAGACCAGCTTTAGAAAGTTAATATCAACCGTTAAACCTTTTAGGCTATCTTCCCCCCTCTTTTTTTTTCTGTTTTAGAAATGAATAAAAGAGCTTTGTACAGTTCTTGAAACTGAGCCTGAAACAGCTCTGAACAAAATATAGTGTTCCTTTCAAAATCTTGGAAATAATTACATCATAGGCAAATTGGGCCAGAAACCGTTAATAGTATTCTTTGTGGAATGAAATCCCATGGGAGGACCTATTTCAGCAAACTGGCATTGTTTACAAATAGATGCAGTGGCAGATACAGTTGTCCCATTCTGAGGGACAGCTGAGACTGTGCCCCATAATGGACTTCACAGAATAACCGCCTTGCTTTTGATAAGAAGCCGAAAACGTGCCCTGGTGCTCCTGTGGTCGGCCTCACGCCAGCAGTCTCGGGAGTGAAGCCTGATTTTGGCACTGGAAAGCTATTTGTAGGTGCGTTAAAGAGAAAATAAAAGCCTCTTTTGCATGAGCTCCTGCTCTGCGAGAATTGCTGGAGAGACAGGGAGACATATCCAGGTGTCTCTGCTGGGCTTCAAAGGCTGAGAACTCCATCACCCATCTCTGTGCAAAAGTACCTGAACATCATGGGCTGTCCCTTCCCCAGGATAACACACAGAGCACGAGTGGTTCTCCCTGTTACCTTACAGTAGTTTTCATCACTGCCTATTACCCCCCTTCCTTCCTTACTAGAAAACCTTCTGCATTTCAGGATGGAAGTCACAAAGATTAGTAATATTAACTGTTTGACCTAAATCTACAAAAGCATTTAGTTCTTTAGGTAAATAGGCTAGTCTGTACTTGAAAACTAGATTGGCACAGGCCCTAGCCTGGGCACGGTTATAGCTGTTCCTGAGTGATATAAAGCACATTAGTGCTTCCATATGTGCTTCCATAGGAGTGTGGGCTGTGTCCCTCCATTGCCAGAGCAGCTCTTTACCTGGATAGTGGGGCTGTGTGGGTACAGCCCTCTCATGGGGGCCAGGCACATCCTGGGGATCGTGGTTTTCTTGTGCTTTCCCAGGTGGTGTGATCCTCTCTGGAGTTCATGACTCCATTAGTTGGGACTGTGTAATCTTTTCCACACTTCTGTGCCTGAAGGCAAAGCTCTAGGGAGCAACACCTGGTCGGTGGCTGCCTGTGGTTCAGTGTGCAAGTGGAGGTGAGCACCTCCCGTGGGAGCAGGGTAGCAGGACAGAATGAGACTTGGATTGTTTTCAGGATATGAACATTTTCCAGCTTTGGCTGATTTTAAGATAAACACATACTCATTTTTATGCGCAAGAAAGTTTTTTAATTCATACTTCAAAATGAGTTTCTTTTGAGAAGATTGTTCCTTTTGAAACCCTAAGCTCTCAAAACATAGCAGGGAGGGAACAGAGTTTTAATGCTTGTTACCCATATCCCCTCAACATGCACTTTGTTTCTTACCTCATAAAAATGATTGACTACAGTGCCAGGTAGTTTCAGTAAATCATTTAAATTTTACTTTGGAAGTCTGTTTTGGAAAATTTGGATTGTAAACAACTACAGGGAAAAAGTTATAAGCAAATACTTAAAAAGCCTGTAACAGGGATAATACAGTGGTTTTTAGGAATTGGCCACTGAATTTATTTCTAGTTACCAGCGGTAACTTTATTCAGACCAAACCTCTAACAGAGAGGTTTTCTTATTCCACCAGAAGGCTTTTCTCCCCCAGCCCAGCAGCCTTGGCATCCTCCCTTCACAGGCATGTTCTGTGTTCTGCTTTGCAGGAGGCTGTGAGGGCTGCTGAAGATGTCCGATAGTCTGGATATTGAAGAGAAACCTCCAGCCCCACCGTTGAGAATGAACAGCAACAACCGCGACTCTTCAGCACTGAACCACAGCTCGAAACCGCTTCCCATGGCCCCCGAGGAGAAGAACAAGAAAGCCAGGCTGCGCTCCATCTTTCCAGGAGGAGGGGATAAAAGTAAAGTATCAGCAGTGCAGATGGGTGGCTCCATCTCTGTGCTTTCTGGTGGTTGGTGGTTGTGGTGTTTACTTTCTGCCACTGTTTTCTTTCTCTTTCAGTTGCAGACCTTGGTACCAAAGCCTTCTGTTCCAATTGCTCTAGAAACATGTTTGGAAAGAGGAGGAGGTGTTCAGTCAGTTACTTTCTTGTCTCCGAAAAGCCACTAAAATGTGCCCACATCGTGCAACTTGCCTTTTAAAAATAACTTTATAGTTAAATTGGGGAATCCTTTCCTTTGGATTTTGCTTTGCATTAGCAGTAAAAACAGACGAGGTTGTGTACTTTTGGAAATACATTCGCAGAAGTGAGAGGGCAGTATGCCTGACACTTTGAGGGGTTTTTTAGAGCACTTACATTCCAGTAAGAGGAGCAAGGCTCTTCTTTCTTGTTGCTTTTGCAGTGAGAGTGGACACAGAATGGCTTGGTTTAAAACCTGCAAACTGTGATTACAGCAAGAGAGTCTTTTAAACATGCAGCGAACGGAATTCCAGTTGCATTCTTTGAAATGCATTTGCAGAAAGGAGGGGGTTTTTTGACTTAGTGTATTGACAGAATGAAGAGAAGGGGTCTTCTTTTTTTTCTAATGCCAAGGGAACTGATGGGCTGCACCCACAAATGCTGAAGGAGCTGGCTGATGTCACTGCAGGGTCACTCTTGGAAAGGTTGGGGTGACTGGGGGATGTTCCTGATGACAAACAAAGCAAATATCATGTCTACCTTTAAGAAGGAGGATCTGAGGAAATGCAGGCCAGTCAGCCTCACCTTGTTCCTTGGGAAAGTAGTAGAGCAAATCCTCCTGGAAACCATTTCCACACAAATGAAGGATAAGAATGGAATCAGGAATAGTCAGCATGGATTTACAGAGGAGAGTTCATGCTGAGCTATACTGACAGCCTTTTACCTTGAGATGACAGGCTTGGTGGTGAAGGCAGAGCAGTGGTTGTTACTTCTGCTTTTGTAAGGTGTTCAGCAGAGCCTCCCACAGCACCCTCACAGACAAACTGATGAAATACAGTCTAGATAAGTGTGCAGTGAGGTGGACTGAAAACTGGTTGTGATCAGCAGTGCGAAATCCAGATGGATTTCAAGAGGAATTCTGCCTTCAATGTGTGTCACTGTCCCTTCGAGGAGAGCTCAGAACTGTGGAGCTGTGGTCATTCCCTTGGAGCTCCAGCTCACTTGTGCTGCTCGGCTGCTGCATTCATGAGTCTTTGCCACAGGTTGTGTGGAGCAGTTGGAGGTAGCCTGGCATTCAGAACTCCTCACAGGCAGTAGAAGGCACAGTGTCAGCCCCGCTCCTGCCCTCAGCCACAGGCAGTCCTGCAGACCCCTCTCATGGGAAGGCTGTGACTGGATGGGCCCATTCCTCAGGCAGACCTGGCCCGGTTCACTCTGCAGTGTGTTCCCCCAAATGTCCCTTTCTGAGAACAAAGTTAATTTTCCATTGATTCTTTTTAAAGGTCAAAATGAAAACCTCTCCCGGCTTTTTTAATTCCTGGAAAGACTTGGGTCACTTCTTCCCCTGAGTGCTAGCAGGATGGTATTATCCCTCTCTGAGAGAGCATTTCTTAAATAGGAGGTGCTGTGTGAAATACATGCAGAAAAGGGGAGATCCAGAAAAAATCCCTCCTGGAAGTGATCACTGACATTAAAAATGTAATTAACTACCAGTCAGAGCAGTCTTAGGAAACATACAAGTGTCGTGATTTTAAATGTGACTGTGAGGAAAAGTAAGGTAAGATTTATAGCTTAATTTTGTTGGGTGAAATAATAAATGGAGGAAGTTTAGCTTGACTGGCCAAGCCCCTTGAGGTGGTTTCATTGCAGGGTTGGTTTGTGGGTCATGGTATCAGCTGGTCTGTGTGTGCTTCACAGACTCTGTGACACATTTTTGAGAGTCCTGCTTATAAAACAGAAGGTGACTGATACGGCTGCTCTCATCTAGTGCAGTGCTTTGCAGCATCACAGTGTTATATTAATAGTTCACCACCGGTAGAAGTAAACAGAATGTGAAGAAAACACCATGGCAGGGTGTTTCTGCCTAAACCTGCAGGGACTTTGTTGTCTTTCCTTTGCTCACCAGACAGGAGGGATGCGAGGATGGATGTGGTACGGTGCGTTCCCTCCAAGGTGGTTGTGTGCCAGGACTGCTGTGCCTGGACACCAGGAATCTTTGCAGTCACTCCCCTGCTGGACTGCAGCATTTTCAGTTATTTTGGCAAGCCACTGATGGCTCTGTGGGGCCCTTCTGTGCATCTACAGTTGATATAAGCTGTGTAGGCAGTAGTGTCCTGCTCCTTCCCAGAGCACCTGACCTCATGCTCCTTTCTCTCTCTAATCTCTGGGGTAAGGTATCCCATTTCCTGAGGGCAGGAAGCCAAGGCAGACAATTGAAATGAATCTCCAGTGCCACACAGGCAATCCTTGTTGAACAAGGAGCTGAACCTATTCCCTCATAGCCTGTGCTGAAGCTGTGAAATTGGCCTTCCTGTCTCAGAGCTAATGATGGTGATGGGAGCCACAATGCAGTTCACAGCATTAGTGCTTCCTTTCAGCAGAGGTGTTACCTCAGCAGAATTGAGAGCAGAAAGTAATGACTTTCTGTGTGTTGTATCACTTGTTTGATCCAGCCTTGTTCTTCTTTCATTAAATCATCTGTAATTGCTGTGAAATAAATTAATACTGTGTGCGCACTGGTGGCTCCATGAAGGCCTGAAGAAATCAGAGGGAAGCTGGCCCACCACAGCTCAGATGCCTCTTTCAGATGCAGAGGTCCATCTGTGTTAAGGCTGGTGAATGGTATCACTTCCATTGAAGCTGCTTTAGACTTGGTTGCAGGTGGGTGCAGAGTCTGGCCTTTAGGCATCTGGTTGGCTGCTGTACAGAAAAACAAGAAAAGAGAGAAGGAGGAAAACTCAGCAGGGTAAAGATAAAGGAAAGGAAAATGACAAGGCTGCTGGGGTGGGACAGGAGGAACAGAGCAGGAAGGAAAATGAGAGGATGGCATGAGGGAGAATGGAAGGATGAGAGATGGAGGAAGGAACAGAATGAGCTGAAGAGGAGGTGAGCAAACAGGAGGGTGTAAGCATGAGGTCAAACCCTTTCTCTGTCTCTGGAGAAAAACTGCCACTTAGCTGAGTCACGTTTTTCTCCCAAACAACTTCTCTTTTAACATAATGGTGATGATGATGGTGATGCAGACCGTGGGAGACAGAACAATCTTTCCGTGTTCTATTTTAATCTGTAATAGGTGCTGAGGTGGTGTGGAGGCCTTCCTGGCTAAGTGCTATGCAGCAGGAGGGTATTGTGAGGGGCATTTGCAAGAAAATCAAATAGCATGTCCAGTACAAACCCCTTGAATCCAGTCAGTCAGTGCTTCAAAGAAGCCATGCCTTTTTGTATCATTTTGCCAGTGTGTATGAAATGGAAGTGATTTGATCTGCAGGGCCCAGACAGAAGTGTCAAAGTTTTTAGACTGGGGAGAGGTGAGGGTGTTGTAAAGAGATGCTTAATTCTGTATTTCATTTATAGTTTATCAGCATTTGGACCACAGGTGTTGTATCACAGTCTGGTAGGCAGAGGTCCATGAAGCAGATGAGCCATGTCTTGGGGAATGATCTAGAACACTTGTCCTCCTGCAGGAGAGTCCTAGAATGGACAAGTGCTGCTTTTGATGGAATGTTTTCTGTAATCCCTTATTTTGCTTCTAGATTTGACTGTTGCTGTGAACTGAATTTGATAATTCTTTAAATCTAATTTTCACTGCATTTGCTTGCAAATGATGAGGTAGTAGAAGCCAGTGTTGTTATTTGCATAGAGATGATATCTTCTAACTGGCAACATCTGTCCTGAAAATTAAACATCAACTAAGCAATAAAAAAAGGGGGAAGCCTTTGCATTTGTGTTTGAGATATTGCTACCATCTTTACTGAACGCTAAATGAAACTGTTTCATCAATGAACGTTGGGTAGGGGCGTGCAGCACAGAGAAAAGGTGACAATTATTTAAGGAGGATAAATGCAGCAATGCAGAGAAAGTACTAGAAACATTCAAAATACTCTGGATGAAGAGCAGAGCATCTTCCACCTGAAGGAGGCTGTAAGGCAGAATAAGAAAGATGTGCAAAGACAGGCCTCATGGAGGTACTGCCTGTGAGCAAAGACAGACCCGGGCTGGGAGCGGTGCTGATACACAGTGAGTTCAGCCTTTGGATGAGACCCCTGAGTGAACTTACAGAGCTGGCAAACATAATATTAAAACACTGAAGGAAAGTGAAGGCAGCTTTTCTCAGCCTTTATTCCACTCATTCTTTATCAGGGTCAATAAAACTGGGCTGAAGTGACACTTGTCAGCTGTCAGAAGCGCAGGAGATGGATGACCACATTACTTTCAAAAGGTGGTAGAGGGAGAGAGAGATGAGAAGCATATGCAGGCTGACTGACTTCCAGGCCTGTCTGCTTCAGTAAGACACTCCACACTCTGGGAATACTGGTGGAATGATTTAAAAACAACAAATTTCTGGAGACTCATAAAGCCTGTTTTATGATTATATGTCTTAGTTAATTGAGAGCTCAAATGAAGCTTTTCCAGTGGCATTTGTGGAATCCTGTTGCTGTGCAGATTCTCTGTTTTCTAATACAGAGCTGCTGCTTCAGCCTTTTACTTGGCAGAGTCGTCACCTCCTGAGCTGCCAGTTTTCACAGAACCTCTAGGAACCCGGTTGTCTTAAAAACCTCTCCTCTCTAATTTGGCTGATTTTGAAACAGGTTCAAAACACATTGGAAGAAAAAAGATCCATACACACATGTATCCTGTGTGATTTACTTCCACAGAAACCCACAGAGTGAAGTTAACAAACAGGAGTTAGTTGCTAGATATGAAATCTCAGTGAAAAGAAGAACTGATAATAGAAATCCTACTGGTTAGAGATAGCCTAAGAAGGCTACTTCATGAGCAGCTTGCTTTGGCAGCAATTACAGTGGCTGAAAGAAAAACAAAACAAAATAACACCTTCTAGACCTTCCCCAACAGGAGTTGACCGGCTGGTGTTGTATTAGCTTGGATCTGTTTGTCAAGTTAGATGGATGTTAATTGATTTGTTTTCCACTTTTAAAATACTATTTTGAGCACGCTGATTGTGAGAAGTTTTAAATGAAAAGCTGTACAGAAAATAAGTGCTTGTTAACATTTTGCCTCTAGCCAACAAGAAGAAAGAAAAAGAACGTCCTGAGATCTCTCTTCCTTCAGACTTTGAACATACCATTCATGTGGGATTTGATGCCGTCACTGGAGAATTCACAGTAAGTAACTGCTGTATTTCATACTTACCAGAGCTTCTAGTTTCTTGATGGTAAAATAACCTCCTATTGCCAGAAACATCAGATGACAGCACCCAGGCTGTGAAGAAAGAGACTTTTCTTTGTTGGGCTTAGGATCTGGAGTGTTTAACTTGTGATTCAGGCTGCTTTTTTTTTTTTTTCCTCCAAGGATTGTCAGCAGAGTGTCTGTGGAAAATGAAAACTAGGAAGGACGTAGGTGTATGCTTTTATCAGTCCCCCAAGCTGCTACAAGAGTTGGTTTTTCAGTGTCTTTGGAAAAGCATAAAAAGCCCCCACACACGTGCATAGTAGACAACCAGCCTCAAAATGCAAAGTCCATGTGCTCTGCAGGCAGCCCTTGGAGATAACCAGAAAACAGCAGCATTATGGAAGTCCATTCATTGTAATTTAATTTCTTTAAAATATGTTGACACCTGAGATGATCAAACACATTTCTAGCCTTCGTGTATTAATGGAATAGCTGTCAGCTACTTGTATCTTGACAAAGTGCATGAAGTGTTGGGAAAAATGAGTTGATAGAAGCTCCCTGAAGCGTGCAGGGGGTTTCAGAGCATTTTTTCTCAGACTGTTAGTTAGGTGCAGAACCCATTAATCCCTTAAAGCTGAGATGGCAGTGAGCTTGTGTGTGGTTGAGCTGTGGAGGTGAGAGGAAGCATTAGCAACTCTCTCTGTGCCACCTGTAGTGCCCTGTGAGCTGAGTGGTCAGACTGTGTAATCACCCTGTGTCAAATTGTGAATGAAGTGTGGTAGTGCTGACTGGCTGCATACACCAAACAGGATGGGACAAATCATTTGCCTGGACAAAGGATGGCCAATTTTCGGAATTTGAATCCTAAACGTGATTTTTTAATGATTTTTTTCTTTTGACTGCCACTTTTTTTTTTTTTTTTTTGCAAAGACATTTCAGAAAGCTGGAAACTTTTTGTATCCTACGGTAGCAGTAGCAACAGTAGTAATAACAGTAGAAGAGAAAAAGACACATTTAATGACAGCATATCTTCAAAGGAGTAGTGAAATTGAATTATCCTTTGTAATTAGGAAATACAACTACATTTAAAATAAGTGAATTAGTTAATTAGCCTTTTTAAATAGGTGTCATATATAAAATTTATTCTGTGCCAAACCCTAGGGGTTGACTAAACGCTCATTTAAAAAGCCCAGATGTGGTCATTTTTTATCAGAAACTTAGCATAAAGCTTTTAAAATTGTTTTTTCTGTGCTGTCTGTCCTGGCTTTTCCCTTTTTTCCTCTCTTTCTCTCCCTGTAGCCACTTTATTGTTCAAGTTAATCTTCTGTGCCATTCTCCTTATCTTTGTATTGTATTATATGTTATGTTACTTTTTGCTTTTGTTTTCTCCCTTTTGTGTTTGCATCACTTCTTCCTGTCTATCTTTGCATTTCCTCCTTCCCTTCTCTCCCCACTAAACGTTCAGCTCTTCTTATTCTGTATCTGTTCTTCCTTCCAACCTTCTACCTTTAATTCTACCCTGTGCTTCAGACCTTTTCCTTCTGGCTCTGTGCAAACACGATGGGTCACAGTTGTGTTCTCCATAGTCTGACTTGTGGTGAGGGTCCCAGTTGGTTCATGTCACTGCCAGCTGGAACAAAAAGGAGGGATGTCAAGCTTAATGTACTTTGGTTCTGAGCACAAACACTCTCTATCAGTATTTCAGGGGTCACGGTTTGGATCATTTTGAATGTTGTTATTATCATCCTGTGTGTCAAAACATGATGATAGCAGCAGAGCTTTTTGCTTTAGCATTAGAGATTTTTGCTTTTTTTTTTTTTTTTTATTTTGTGTCAGATGCCACCAGCACAGGTCCTGCCCTTTTATAGAGCACAGCAGTTCTACATGACTAAATATATCCAGCTTTGTTGCTGTAGCACAGTTCCTTTTTAATATCTTTTCCCCTTTCCAAACAGTGCAGATTAGATGGCTGCTGTTTTGCAACCACACAATATTTCTGCAATAGCACTGAAGTGTGGAAGTGCAGTGCTGCAGTCTGAGAGGGCTCTAACCAATTCAAAAGGAACCAAAGGGACAGGTGACTTCCCCTGTGCAGCTTGCCAGCACAGGGCTTATGCTGCAGTCCTTAGGGGAGTCAAATACCATTGAAAGCAAGGGAGTTTTTGCATCATTAAGAACTGGCTGTCAGTCCCAGCTAATCTCAGATTACATTAGGCTTGTTTGATTTGTCCCAACCTGGATAGAACCCGTGTATCAGCTGGGTAGTCATGTGGTAAGTAGGTCCTGCTGAAGGAACTTCCACTAGCCATGTCATGGATAAATATTCCCACTGTCTAGTGATCACGCTGTCTCTTTCAAAAGTTTGGAAGTGCCATGGAAGTGTTGGATAAATGTGCAAATGTATGGGTTGGGGTTTTTTGTTTGTTTCTAATTCCTGCAGCTGTCATGCCAGTCGTGCCTGCTCTCCTGGGTTATGTGCAACCCACTGGGCCATTCTCTGACACCCAACCATCACCCCCAGCTGCATCCCCTGACTGTTGGTAGTTGCATCCCAATGCACAGTTGCATGGGCTCCTGAGTTCTGGCTTTCAGGCTTGAGCACCAGGCTGTGCTGTCCATCATGAACAGACGTTATGTCTCCATTTCACTGTGCTTGGAGCAACCACATTTGCTAAGAAGTAGGGCTTTTAAAGCAGAGAATAAAATTGGTTGGAAACTGTTGGGTGGGAGCATGCTGCTAGAGCTTTATGTTCCTTTATTTGAAGAAACAGTTGCATTTTCTGAATGGAGGACGGAGTGTGGTTAGCAGGGCTTTGGGGAGTGTTCTTTCTAAGGCATGCATGTTTGAAGCCGTTTCCTCATCCCCAGTCTAGAAGAAAATGTGGTCATCCACCAAACTTTTAAAGCTTCAAGATTATGACATTAGTGAGTGGGAAAAGTTGTGGCTGTAGATCCAAAGAAATTGCACATTCCTAATCAAATCAAGCATTTCTTTACAATTGTCCTGATTTTCAGTCTGACACGTATAGATTATTTGAGTTGTGGCCATACACAACCTCCCAGATTTCACAATCTGACTGGCTGCTCTCTCCACTGCACTTTGGGGACTCACTCACTGGCCAGTGGTGATCTCAGGGCTGCAGAACCCCTAAGCTTGGAAAAAACTTGTATAGAGCCATTCAAAAGTGTTAACCTGGCTTCAAAACTAGGCAAACAGCAAAAGCCCAATAGTTTTTGGTTTGGTTTTTTTTTCAATTGAGACAGGAAATCACAAGTAATTTTTTCAGTCACTTGCCATTAATTCTCAGGAATGTATTTTTATGAGGGAGAGAAAAACTGGTTTAAAAGCAAGAGGAGGGGGAATGATGCTTCCAAACTTTGGAATGGTTGTGATTTTTCTGTTTTCCTAAGCCTGCCTTCCTGTAGCCCATCCGCCGCCGGATCTGTTTGGTATCCGCCTCGTAACTCCCATTTTAGATGGGACTTGCCCATTTTGGCCCATTGGTTTCTTCCTCCTACCACCTTCTGAGTTGTCCCACATTCTGTTTTAACTTTCTTTTCTTTCTTTATTTACGTCCATTGCAGCCAGATCTCTATGGCTCACAGATGTGCCCAGGGAAGCTCCCAGAGGTGCGTCACAGGCCCCAAATGCTTCTTTGAGATGTCATAGCACTGCAGCAGCAGGTTGATGTGTGTGCAGTAGATTTGTTGCTTGGCTTTTCCCACTCTTTTTTTCATCAATCCTAAACTTTGGAGGCCCATGTCACACATTGTTTTGTGGAGAACTTCTGAGGAAGAAGCTGTATGAAAGTAGATTGGGGTGGCACCAAGGCTAAGGTGTCGTTTTTCTTCAGTGAGCCCTACAATTCACTGGTCGCTGTCAGCTGTGCAGTAAAGGGGGGAAATGACAGGCTGTCAAATTTAGGGAACCATCCTGGGTAACTAAAGCAAGTTTTTATAAATAGAATTCCAGTGTAGAGCTGTGGCTTTCAGTGATTGGATCAATTTTCAAATGCCACCCTCACCCATAAGATGTCCAAGAATTCATCCAAGGCTTTGGGACTCTCAGCCTGTTTTCCGAGTCCCTGGTTTCTGTATGTTTGCAGTAGAGAGGCATCCTTTGCAGCAGTGGGACACCTCAGTGTCATGCTTTTGAGAGCTGAAAGACGGATTCTTTACCCCGCAGTGTTCCCTGGTATGCTGAAAATGAACTGTATCAGCGTGGGGTTCACCTTGTAATCAGACAGCAGTGATCATTTCAGCAAAATGTGTTTGCATTCCTAAGCATGAAAAGTCCAGTGTAAAGCTCCTAAAAGACACTGTGTTGTCCACCAATAGAGAATAATTGTCTTGTTATGTCTGCACTGAATCACCAGGCAAACAAGCTAAGCCTTAAATCATTATTCCATGGAAGAGCAGAGTTGATTTCCAGAGGAATTTCATGCACTTTTTTTCCTCTCACAGTCATTACTTTCTTTTCTTTTTAAAGTTGGGTCCTGGTTTTATCTAGATGTTGATAGAGAAGAGAATGATTGCATCTAATTTTAATTGTGAGGTGTCAGTCAAAATTTCTGCAAGTAAATTTGTGCTACAGGGAACGTGGGATCTTGGTAAAGATCTGTGAGGCTGTGGATTTTAAATACTCTAAACCCGCTTTTTTTTGCACTTGACAACTACAGGGCATTCCAGAGCAGTGGGCCAGGCTACTACAGACCTCCAACATAACAAAACTGGAGCAGAAGAAGAACCCACAGGCTGTTCTAGATGTTCTCAAATTTTATGATTCCAAAGAAACAGTTAACAACCAGAAATACATGAGCTTTACGTCAGGAGGTAAGTTGACTTCTCCCTGTGAAAAAGGAAGGTCAGGCTTCAAAATGAGTCAGAGCAAAATTCAATGTTCAAGTGGTCAAGAAGCAAACTGAACCAATTGTCCTAAAATGAATTCCACATCTCCTCCAAATGTCATTGAAACGTTGAAACGGTGACTTTTTTTTGTCGCTGGTTTTTAGAACTAACCAAGATTTTGAAACAAAATTGCCATTACGAGACCATTAGTTTGGTAGAGCTCCTGTCAACAGCTTCAGCTATAAAGGAGGTGTCTGTAGGCAGTGGGGTATGGGCAGCTTTGGAATGTAACCTGCAGGGTTCCATTCCCTCCACAGGATCGTCTGTGGCACTGGAGCTGTAATTTCCTTAGTTCGATGGTTCAACCAAGACAACTTCCAAAATGCAGACTAGGAAAACTTCTCACAAGTCCCTTTAAAAACTGCACTTATCTCCAGAATTTTCCAAATGCCGTAATTAAAGGATTTGACTAAATTTACACTTACTGTGCACTAAAATAGTGATTCCCTTTATTAAGAAATGCAAACTTCGAAATAGTTCTGTTCCTGTGCTGTGTCAGAATAGAACTGCCATGCTTAAGGGGGATTTTGGGGAAGCTTTTCTGGGGATACGTTGTCACAAGCTAATTAGAATGAGTGCATGCAATTTATTTAAAAAAATTAAACACAGGAAAGAGAGGAAAAAAAGCTGCTTTAGCTCTTGGGTGGAACAGAAGCATTGATTGTTAAAGAACAATTTGCATTTTCTTGACCAAATTTCTGTTTAGTTTATTTACTGGCAAACAGGGCAAAAATTAGACGCAATCTAGAATGTTGTCCTGTTCTCTTCCTTGCTGTGTAAAGGAACTGTTGCTCCTGGAGGGGGTGGTGTTAACTTGTTCTGTGGGATTCCCTACAACGGTCAGTTTTTTTTCCTAACAGCATCTGGTTCATTTTCCCTTGCTCTTTGCAGATAAAAGCGCCCATGGATACATAGAAGCCCATCCTTCGGTGAGTGGGAGAGTAACCTTTGATGCCCCTGGTGTTTCAGAATTATGGAGCAAGCCATGGGCTTTCCTTGGTTGTTTTTTCATTCTGTTTAATTGCTTTGAAACAAGTGAAAGTCTTATTTTGCAGACAGAGGATTGCTTGCCGGTTTTAGCCATGATGGAATATATAATTCACAACAGTATGCAGTACTGTCTAATGAGCCCATTTTAATTTAGTTTTAACAACTTAGAATCCCATTTCTATCGAATTTCATGATTTCTCCTCAGTACAGCTGGATATATAGCTGAATATAAATCAGATTATAATTGATATGTAACTCACTGGAACCATTGAAAGAAAGTTTTAAATAACCATCCACTCTAATTAATGCTGAATTGCAAGAGCATTCCCAGAGATGTAGGAATGACATCCACATTAATAGTGACCAAATTTATTAGGGTTATTGTTAGTGCATTAAATAGCAAGTGACTGAATGGGAGTTTGGCTTTTATTTTTAAGTGTTAAGCAACTTCATGTGAGGTTTGTGATTACACAGCAGACTGTGCATAATGAAATGAAAAATTAACCTTGAATATTTATGCTTCAGATTTCCAGTGGATGCCACTTCCCTTATCTTTAATAAAACACACTTTTCAGAGGAAGTGTGGTGTTCACCAGAGCACAGTAAGCCTTGTATGGACACCTTGGCAGATGCTGTGGTGTTTTCTTCTAGCAGACAGAGGCAGTAGTGAGACAGTCAGCACGTCAGCTTTCCAAAGTTAGCAACTCAGGCCTCCCTGTTTGCTGTGGGCTTCCCTTACTGGTATTTCTGCTGGACCAAAGGGGTGACATTTTAAAGAGAGTGCCAATGAGATGTGAATATGTAGAATGGTGCCTTCAGTTTGCTTCAGTTCTCTTAAGTGGCCTCTTCTAGCCAGCTGGAAAGTAGTTGGTAAACACTTCACAAGGAACATTTTAATTTTTTTTGTTTTACCAGCAAAATTTGGGATGACATGATATAACTATGTGCCTCTGAGCAGCAGCTGGGACTGGTGGAGTTCAAGTCACCTAACTTTAAATACCTTTAAATTGTGTTGTGCTGTAAGTTAGAACTGAGGCCCATAGGTGACTGTCACACACTACTGTCTGTCCACAGAGCACAAAAACAGCATCAGAACCTCCTCTGGCTCCCTCTGTGTCTGAAGAAGAGGATGAAGATGATGAAGAGGAAGAAGATGACAATGAACCTCCACCTGTTATCGCCCCACGGCCTGAACATACAAAATCAGTAAGTGCCAGCTTTGGTTAGCACTGTGTTTGGTGCAGTGCAGAGCTGCAAGTTTCTGATCAGACAGCACTTGTCGTTCATGGCTGAAGACTCTGAGGGCTGGGGTCCTGCCATGACACAGTGCTTCATCCCAGCCACTGACACCTGGAAAATCAGTTTCCAGCTTTCGTGCTTAGGTGTCAGGTTCCTGGAATTCTGGCAGGGGCTGTGACTTTCTCTTCATGATGCTGTGGGTGTAAAAGCGAGCCAGTTTGTCCACAGTACATGTGCAGGCTCCCTGTCAGCAGAGAGAGCAGTCCAAAGACACAGTTCATATACCTGGCAGAATATGTAGGACACACTGTCCCTTGAGGTACTTGCTCCTCTCCATGGACTTTTTCAGAAAATCCATGAAAATTGAATGTGAAACTGGCCATGAACTTGTAACCCTTCATTTTTTGCCCATTCAGTATGAGAAGCGGGCAGCAAAACCAAACAGTTTTAGAGCCCTGGATGTTGCTGACACCATCTTCCTAAGGGTTTACGCTCGAAATATGATCTTGGGGAGATCTCTGCCATCTTCCTGACACGAGATAATTTCTTCTCACAGATCTACACACGCTCTGTCATTGAACCTGCCGCTGCACCAGCACCAGCTAAAGAAGCCACCACTCCCCAACCTGAAAACTCAAACACAAACACTCTGTACAGAAACACAGACCGGCAGCGGAAAAAATCCAAGATGACAGATGAGGAGATCCTAGAGAAACTGAGTATGTATTGTGTATTTTATGTCTGCTAGACCAGTGTATTTTGTGCATATCTCAGCATTAGCTGTGCCAAATGTTCCTCCTCAGTTCAGTGTCACAGAGTCACTTAAAGCTCCCTACAGAAACTGTTGTTGAGCTTTGAGGGAGGGTGTTCCTCCTGCTTCTGAGGGCAGGTCAGGCTGGATTGGGTTTGTCTGAGCTGCTTCCTGCTCTAAAGGCAAAAGCAGAGGTTGTTTCTGGTTGAGCAGAAGGCTGGGACCTAGTGAGTGACCTAGTGAACTCCTGTGTGCTAATGGCCAATTGAACAGAATATTTGGGTTCCTAAATTCTCTTTAGACTCCTGACTTCTCGCAAGTCATCAGAACCAAAATACTTTGCAGAAATCTGTTGGGGTTTGGGTTTTTGTTCATGGGGGGTTTTTTTGGTGTGTTTTTTTTTTTAACAGTAGACAACTGCAGCATTAAGCTTATTCCTTCAGCTTCAAGTAACTCTCCTGCCCCAGCTATTCTCTTGCTGTCCTTCTTATGAATGTTATTACTGCTCCTACTTCTATAGTTTGTTTTTATAAGAATTCTACAATTTTGTCAGTGATATGTCCTGATTTTTGTCAGAAAATCAGTTGACACCATGGATAGAGAGGAAAAAGGTGTTTCAATGTGCCTGAAAATTAAAGAAAATATTTGTATGATAGCTTTATAATATTTTTATTAATAGCTGCCAGTGCTGTGTTCTCGGTTGGGTTCAGAACAGATCCCAGTTTACTCTGTGTTTACCATTAACTGTTAGTACAAAAAGCATTTTGATTTACACCTCCTTGTGTCTGATCTCAAAGCCAATAATGCTGTGTCTTCAAAGGGAGCAACTGCTCATAAGGGGCTGCAGTCTGGCTGTGGCTTCTTCAGAGTGGTTGTCAAGGCTTCACCTTTTTGTCATACCTGCTTTGCCACTGATGGCTGGTGTGACTGCAGAGGCTGAGACCTTCCTTAGCTGTGAGATTTCAGCTGCTTGCTTAGTGTTCTGCACCCTTAGCAGGTTGACATGAATCTCAGTGCCATTAGGGAGTATCCAAGGGATAAGTTCAATAGCTTTAGCTGAAGGCAGAATGAAATAAATTCCAGAGCAGATAGTTACCTGCAGGTATGTCAGCTTACAGAGAGAGGAATTGTGCTTCTTCAACTGATGCTAAATGCTTGAGGCAGGCTGAGATGTGCAGGTACCCTGCATTATGAACATAAGCGTGTGTATCATTTATTCAGGCTTCTGTATAGGCTGAGTTAGGACTGAGCTCTTGAGTTGTTGGGGGTTATATCTTTGAAGTGTTACATGCTTTCATGCTTTTTCTTTCTTAACAATTTGATACCGAGTGAGCAAGGTCTGAAGGTCTGCCTTGGGCAAATTGTGATGTGGACAATGAAAATCTTTTTGTGCTTTCATGAAGCTATCTGAAAATGGGGAGGATGCTTTTTTGTTAGAGTCCTGGACTAATTATATTTAGGCAGTGTGGTGCTCATCCTGTTTTGTTTTATCTCGTATGACCACTTCACCTTGCCTACTTCCCCCACAACTGTTTTTATGCTACTTTTAGGAAGATGTCCCATGCCCTCTTTTATCTGAAATTGCTTTCATAATTCTTTTCTTCTTGAAGTACCTTTAGTTCTTCTAGAGCTTTCAGAGTTTTATTAGTGAGGAAAGCCTGTATTACCGAGATAAGATCAAACAAAATTCTGTCTGTAATGAAATCATGACTATGTTCTACTGATAACTGTAAAACAGAACTGGCCCAATTCTGCTTTCTTATCCACTTAATTTAGGACTTGATAAAGGAAAGTGCTTAAAGACATCAAAATAGCTGATATGTCTATCTTTTGTCCACAGTAGTGAGTGCCGGTCTGAGCGGGAGCTGCATACCTGTCACTTTGTTGATATTAATGCTGCAAAATTTGATGTGCATTGGCGTAAGCACAGGGAATCAGCCACAAACAACTAACTTAGGAAAGAAGCTACTCAAGTCTTGAGGAAAGATGCTGAAAATCTGAACTGCAAAATCAGTGGTGAATTTGGAAAAATGATTTTTCAAAATCTTTCTTCTTCAGTCTTCTGTATACTTTTCTAATGTTAATGAACCTGCATGAACTTCTGATACCTGTTCTAATGGGTACACAGTTCCATTAACTTGCTGAAAATAGCACCTAGCCATACAGACAGCACAGTGTTGTTCCTGTTGTCCAGCCCAGGCTGAGCACAGCATTCCAGCAGCGTTTGGTTTACTGCTGCAGAGCCTTGTGGGGTTGTGAGCCACAGGGTGTGAGACAGTCTGGCTCCATCACCCATTGTGGAGTTGGTGCCACTGAAAGCTGCAATTAAATCTTGCTCTGTTTGGTGCCTTCTTGCCCACTCGGAGATGTAGGGAGTCTGAACGGGAAGGAAAGAAAGCAATAATTAGGATATTGTCTTTGTGTCTCATGAAAGAGCCAAAATCTGATAGACTCAAACAAATCTGAAGGCTTAATTAAAGAAACAATATTGTTTTTTCTGGTCCAGTAATTTCCTAGCTAAAATGCAGGCAATGAAGCCTAAGGTGATGGCTCAATGCAAATGACTTCTAAAGATTTACCTTGGAATTTACATCATGGAAATAGTTTAAGATGAGTTCAGAAGGAAAGACTTCCAGTGATCCACAGCGTATTTTTTTTTACTGATCTGGCAGTATCCCTGTATGACAAATACAAACATACACTTATTTGTTTACCTGTGCTTCCAAAACAAAACTAGGTGATGCACGATGCACTCTAAGTAGTAACAAACATGTCTTCCCCCTGTCAAGGCCATTTTTCTGGAGCAGAGGCTTTAGCATCCAAATGGGCATGTGACCGGATGCCTAGCCAGGAATCCTGCCTGCCAGCACGGCAAGAAGACAGGGCATCAACACCATCTGGTGCACTCCCTGCTAAAATAATTTTGCAGCCCTTGGCAAGAGTGCTAATGGGAGCTGCAGGAGAGGAGGTTTCCTTTGCCCCACAGTACTCGCTCCCCTCTCTCAGCGCTCCAGGAACGCCAGGCAGTGCCCATTGTGGATGGCAGTGGGAGCCTGCCCACTGGCCTGGGATTCCAACAGTCTCAAGTATCCTGAAGTGGTCCTGCCCTGCTATGCCAGCCTGCAAGGGTCAGAGGAACTGGATCATCTGGAACCCAAGCTGAGGGTGTAGCGCTTTCAGAACCTGGTTAACTTTTCATAGTTTCATCTCGTTGAAACACATACCATAAAACAAAAGGTCATTCTGCTTCTCTAGAGCGGGTTTTCACTACAGAATAACTCTTCAGTAGAGAAGAACATGACCAGAGGACTCTGGGCTGTCTTCTGCATCACATCACCTGGACTTGTGAAAGGATCAGCATCTCGTTTGGGCAGCTGTCCATGTCACCAGCGCTTGAGAGGCATTGCTGTCCTTTGTTACCCATTCCAGTTGTGCTGGTTTGTGAAGACCAGTGTGTGGGTAGTGTTGAGAGGGGGAGTCCAGTGGTTGTGACTGATCTGTGTCAGGTTGAAGACAAACAGTGTGGTTCCTCAAGCAGCACAAGCAAGATTGTCTTCAGAACTTAGCCCGGTAATCAGTCATGGAGGTCTTAGATCTAAAATGCCATCATTCTTGATGATAACATGAGATGCTGTTCTTTAAAAGGATAAAGGCATTCTTTTGGCAAACTCCTGATAGGTTGAGAAGATCCTCTCCTCTCCTGGAAACACTTTTCCAATGTTCTTCCTGCTCTGGAAATGGTGCCTTTTCATAAAAAAATATTCCAGAACCCAAGGTGCATTTAATCTTCAGAAGTGTTAAACCTTTTGTTGCATCAGAGTGTTTATTCCCAAGAAAATAAGGGCACTGTTGTTCCAGCTCTCCTTAATGTTTGTAGAGGACAAACTCTTGCACTGGTACCTGTTCTTTTCTGATCTCTGTCTGCTCTTAATGTTTCTCCATGTGCTTTGTTTTCTGTCGAGGTGCCCCTTTAGAGGACTGTAGGAAATCAGTCTTTGCAGAGGCCATCTGTGCTACGGAGCTGCCTCTGGTGTTGCTGTTGTTGTTACCCAACTGACTACAAAGGGCTCAGCAATGGGGCTGCATTTCGGGTCTGCTGGAAGGCAGGATCTCCGTTTTGAAGTCAACATCTTGCATTTTGTTTCTTTCAGGGAGCATTGTGAGCGTGGGAGATCCTAAAAAGAAGTATACTCGATTTGAAAAAATTGGCCAAGGGTAAGTCCAATCCCAGTTACTTATGCAGAACCACGAGCCACGTGTTTTGCTGGTGTAATATCAAGCATGAAGTCAGGCAAGCTCCAAACATGTTCAGACACTGGGTTTAGATCCTTCTGTCTCTCAGTACTGATCAGAACTTGCAACTGTGGTCAGAAGGCATCATCAAAGTCAACTTGATGCTGGCAGTATCTTGTCTGTGACAAGGAGCAGGACCTGGAAGATCTCCTGTCCGTCAAGTGTGTGGCACTTGTTTGCTTGTTTTCTTAGGAGAAATAATTTTTGTGTGTCTCAAAATAATACACCGCACTCAGCAAAGGAGAAAAAACTTTTATTACCTAAAAGAGCAACTCAGATAACAGTTCTCAACATTTCTTTCCGACACTTCGGTTAAAACAATATTCTAAACTATAACCACATAGTTTAGAAACTGAAACAGGAGATTAAAGGAAAAGCTCTCTTTTCTAGCAGAGGTAGTAAAAAGCAAAAGTTCAGTAATAGACACAGTGTTGATGCACTTGAGAGAAAAATGCATCATCTGCGTGATGGCAGGTCCTTTATGGATCCTGCAGGTTTTAGGCATTTACTGAAAGTAATCACCCAAGCTATTCCCTTCTGAAACTCAGCTTTGCTTACTGTAAATCAGATTGATTTGAAATACTTCCTATGTGAGGAGGCAAGAACAAAAGAGCTTGCCTCAAAATTAGGTATCTGACTTGCATTTTAAATATGGACTGCCTGCACCGTCACAGTTTCCTTGGCAGTGTTGTAGTTCCAGGAGGGCTGGCACCATCTGTGTCACACCAGGATCACGCCGCTGTCAGTGTAATACAGAAGCTGTTTACTGGCATCAGGAGATATTTTTCTGCCTTAACTATTTGTGAGGTTTGAGCTCAGGGTAGCCTGTTGCTGACCTAGAATGGATACATACTGCAGAAAGGCAGACACATGCTCATGCTCTTTCTCTGGCAAGTTTTATCTTGGATCTCAGGTTTGGTAAGGCCCTTGTGGGAAGGTGTTTCTGCTCCATTCATTGTATAAAAACCCCTTCTCAAATTCCAGCTTGCTTTCTGCTTGAAGCTTTGGTTCTTCCTGTCGTTTGTAAAATGTCAGTGGACACTTAGGGCTGTTCCCATCTCTCAGAAGTGTCAGCTGAAGAAGTGAGAGCAGAATAAACATGCCTGTGAAGCAGATGACTGCTGTCACCGTGAGAACGTGAGCGTCACCCTCACGGTCTTTTATTTTGATAGTCCTAGGAGTGAGCCTTGGAATACCTTGACAGCTGGTGGAAAGACAAGTGGCCAATAGCTGGCCTAAAAGGGTATCTAAATTGATTTCCTCCAGCTTTTAGTACAGCCTGAAGACTGCATGCCCTCCTTAGAGAGGAGTGAGTGTGCTGCCATAACCAACTCGTGCCTGTAATACCACAGGTCAATTTACAGTGATAGGGAAAGATCCTGAAGCAAAAAAATCATCAGGAAAGTAATCAAACAGGATGCTCAGGAGCACCCAAAGTGCTGCACAGCTGAAGTTGGCATGTCTGTCTGCAGCAGGGCTGGGCTGTGAGGCACTGCCTCAGAAGGTGCTGAAACAATAGATTCCTTAACCTGCTCTAGCTGTGACCTCTCAGGATGGCTGGAGAACTGTTTCCTTGCATGCTGGAGAAAGCTGTGTTTAGATCCTTTCCTCAGATGGCTGTCATGTGCTCAGGGTTCTCAGAATGAGAGTGTGGTATTACCCGAGTTTGCCAGATGGATTCAAATAAGAGGTGTGAGAAGGCCCAACTGGACTGTGTGTTACATTCCATGGAAAAAACACACGCACGGAGACACAAAGGAAAAAAGGGAAAAAAAGCACCCTAAATACAACAAGGCAAAATGGAAAAGTTTTAAATCTATTGCATTCCAGTTTTTGTAGACACCCTCCCCCTTAGGTTTTGAATTAAAATGGTTTGGCATGTACCTTGGAGATTTGCACCAGCTCTTTTCCTTCATGTTGGGCCTCAGTTTTCTCTTGGACACCCTGGATGGCTGAGAGTTGATGGGCTGCTGTGCTGTTGACTGAAGAGTCAATGAACCCAAGTATTTTATAAACACTCCCGGCAGCAGAGATCTCCTCTCTGGGCTGGCTTTCACTCCCAGGGACTAAACCTTTTCTCATTTCTTTGCTGCTGTTTTGTTTCTAGGGCTTCAGGAACTGTTTATACGGCCATTGACATCGCCACAGGACAAGAGGTAAGTGTCAAAAACCCCAGCAGATTTTGCAGCTGTTGAGTGCTCTCCCCTCTGGTCTGAGCTGTGGGTGGAGCTTTAGGTGGCCAGTACATCTTTCCTGCAAAAGCTGTTCCTCTGAAGCATGTACTGGTGTCAGCTGGCAAAATCCATCCAGCTGTCTTCAGCAATGCTGGAACTGAGGTGTTGAGAAATGCCTGAAAAGGTGCCTGCGAATTCCTGGGATCAATAAGGGCCTTGGTGCTCTCTGTGCTTGGCTGGATGCTTCACCCATAGTTTTTAAGGCCAATTGTAAGAGATTTATTTTTTACTTTGTCTTCAGAACAGGTTGGTGCTCTCTGCACTATTGTTGGTCCCACCCTGGTACCGTGTTACATAATCCCCCAATGTTTTTTTTTAATGGAGAGAGATCTGTTAAGAAATCCCAGCAAGCTTTTGTGCTGATAAAAAGTAGATAAGTTTTACTGCCAGTGTAAATGTATTGGTTTAGAAATTGCTGCGTCTATTCCCCAGTGTGCATGAAGTTGTGCTTTTACAGAGAATGCTGGTTCAGATGTACAATTTAGCTCTGTATCTACAGCATAAAATCTGCCTATGCATGTGGCCACAGATAGGTTAGCAATACAGCTTGTAATGTTGAAAGATCTGTCATAATGAGACAGGTCACATGAAAGTGGTCACAGATTCCCCTCTTGCTGTGAGGAATAAATAGTTTCATTACATCACTTAATTTCAGAAAGACTTTGTCCATATTAACTGCAAGAAAGAAGGAGGGCAGTGGTATCTTTCAGAGAAGGACATACTGGCTCAGTCTTAATTACTAAAGCTATTGCATCAACAAGCTGATGGTGACTGCCATCGTTTGGGCCCAATTTATCTTAATCCCAGGTTTGGACAGTAATACTGATTACCATTTCTTCCATTATGTGTTTGATCTTCAAACTATAATTAAGGAGAGGTCATGTTTTGGGCACAATTTTGTGTTTTAGTCATACTGCAGCTGGGAAGAATAGAGTGGTGTTTTGCTCTGGTGTCAATGACAGCTCATTATGGTCATCCTGTTAGTAATAAGCAGCCGAGGTAGTGTCTTGGAGAATCCCACTGCTCTTTGGGGCTCCAACTTCAGATTCCTGAGTTCTCATTTCTGGCTGTCAGCAAAGACTCAGATGTGAATCTTACTGGTAGTTTCTTATCCACCTGCAGTGCTGTACTTGCTAACTGTGCCTAGATTGGGGGTTCCAAGGGGTCTAAAAGCCCTAAGACCTCCTTTTAACCCTGGGTATATCCATAAAATACCAAAGCATGGATTATTTCTTTTTAAACCCGGACAGTAACTGCAAATGTAAAGTGTGTTAACAAATGTTCCTTACAAGAGCAAAATCAAAATTCAAGAAGTTGGGAATTGCTAGGATTGTATTTTTGTTGTGGACCCTTAATGATCTTTTTAGGATAGCATTTTATCCATAATGTATGTCTATGTTTGCTTTGTTAAGCAACCAAGAGTAGCAGCAGTTGCTGATACAATCAAAAATCATATAATTACTCACTCCTTGTTCATTCTGATCTTGTGCAACAGACTACTCAAGTTAATGGTTTTCCATGTAATTTTAGGTGGCCATAAAGCAAATGAATCTCCAACAGCAGCCCAAAAAGGAACTAATTATCAATGAAATCCTGGTCATGAGGGAAAATAAGAATCCTAATATTGTTAACTACTTAGACAGGTAAGTAGTTCTGGTATTATCACATGAATATTTGTTCACACACTGCAAACCAAAGATCAAAAAACTCCTTTGGTCACTGGCAGAACATGGAGCTCTTTATTATTTCTCTGCACATCTCCAGTGGATGGCATTTGCTCTGCATTAATCTTTTCTGGCATATGTAGTTTGAAGCCTTGTTTTCAAAAACCTGGACCAGCCATATCTTACTAAAATGACAGCCTGTCAGTTCACTACCTCCATGTTGTTCTGGAGTTTGTTTTTTTCTATGTCTTATGTAGAAATTATTTCCTTTGGGCTTTTCCCAACAATTTTCCATTACTGTGGATGCAAGACTAGGTTCTTGTTTCCAGAAACACCTAATCTGCCAGGTTTTAAATTTTCTTTCCTGTTTCTGGATGTATTTTTTTTGCAAGTTTCCAAACACTTGATCAACTTCTCTCCTCAGTGGTGCACACCTTCCTCTCATGGATGAGTCTGAAAGCTATATTTCCTTGTTCCCAGAGTTAATGGTGGAATTTATGAGTTAAGATGGTGAACTGGCTGGTGGCATGTGCCGATTCCAGATTTATCTTCGCCATTACTAAACTGCATTTTTCACTTGCTTGTCACCTAAGACATCTTCTTTTTCATGGATGTGCCTTTCCCATTTAGACTGCACAGATTCCAAGTACTGTAGAACCTAGAAGGAATGTCCTTTATTCATTTTATTCTGTCTTCACTTAAAAGTGACCTGGAAACAAAAATCAGCTGTAGAGCTATGATTATTAGGTAAGTTAGCTATGCACATTCATCTGCACACCACTGTTTTCTCCTTTCAGCTACCTTGTGGGTGATGAGCTGTGGGTGGTGATGGAGTACTTGGCTGGAGGCTCTTTGACCGACGTTGTCACCGAGACGTGTATGGATGAAGGACAGATAGCTGCTGTCTGTCGGGAGGTGAGGGGTCCCCCTTGTGCTTTGGTTTGCACAGACAGGGTGCTGCTTCTGTTTCTGTGGTGCTGTTATTATACAGAGTAGAAAGGGCATGTCCACTGCAGCAGCATCATTCCGTCTGTGTTTGTCTTTAGCAACAATTGACGTGTCTCTTCCAAAAGCTGATCTGCCTTCACTCAGAAAGATAGGACTCTAAGAGTGTTGAAGCAGCAAGCTCTTCCTCTTGACAGCACCGTGTTCTGCCATTACTCACCATTGCCCTGGAAAGGAAATCTCATAGAGCCATGTCCTTTTTTTGTGTGATGAAATCACATCGTGACTTTTTACCCTCACGTTTCTTTTTTTCTCCACCAGTGCCTGCAAGCCCTGGATTTCCTTCATTCCAACCAAGTGATTCACAGAGACATCAAAAGTGACAATATTCTTCTTGGGATGGATGGATCTGTCAAATTGAGTAGGTGTTCTTGGTCAAGTGCAGTGTTCCTGGGATGTGGTGTGGGGCTGCTTTTGAGTGACTGGCAGTACCCCAAAAATGGTGGTTTTGGGCGTGCACGGAGCCCTGCTGCAAGCTAAGGGCACAGCTGCAATGTGCAGAGAGGTCTAGAGAGGAACAAGGTGTCAGGAGTGGCTTTGGTTTGTGTGTGTCCCTTCCAGAGCAGAGGGAGTTACAATCTAAAGCTTCAAGTGAATGAATAAAAGCCACTGTATGAAATTTGAGGGTTTCTTCAAGTGGCCAATTCTGTATTTCCCTGACTACAGCCCTGAGGAAACGCCGCTTTTCCAGTTTGATTCAGCTCTGCATTCTCAGACTTAAAATGGGGAATTCTTTTGCTTGCTTTCATGATTCAAACTGGCTTCAACAGTATTTGTTTTTCTCCTCAGCTGATTTTGGCTTCTGTGCTCAGATCACCCCAGAGCAGAGTAAACGGAGCACAATGGTGGGGACTCCTTACTGGATGGCACCAGAAGTTGTAACAAGAAAAGCATACGGCCCCAAGGTGGACATCTGGTCACTTGGGATCATGGCAATAGAAATGGTGGAAGGAGAACCTCCCTACCTTAATGAAAATCCTCTCAGGGTAAGGTGAAATACTATCAGATACCACTGCCTTTCTAATCTGTGCCATATTTTGTCTTCCATGAGATAAAATCCCATTCACATCAGCTTGAATTAGTTCTGTGAAGGCCCACTTCTAAAAATGTTCCTGGAGTACATCAGCATCTGCTGCAGCTTTGATTGCATCACTGGGAGAACCTTAGAAGGGAAGTGACATGTGCCAGTGCAGAAACTTGCCATTTTGGCCTTCAGCAGTGCTTGAAATTTGTCATGCACTTTTTGAGCTTTCTTTGAGCTGTATCTCTGAATGACAAGAATTTTTCAGTGGCAAGTTTCTCCAATTGAAGACCTGTTATGAAAAGCATTGCAGCTGTACCTGCAGGCACGGAACTCTTTGGAGGCAGTCTCAGCTGCCTCCAAACAGGAGAGCTTATAAGCAAGACTGGTTTTTACAGCAAAGATTTTTAGCTGATGGCACACAGTAGTTGTTGGATTTCTTGAAATACGTAATGAACATATTTCTTTCATAGCCCAACCACTTTCTCCATGTCATCAAGCTTGAGCTTTCAATAATCCAACTACCCAAACCTCCTGTTTCTTGCCTGGCAGTTTCTGAGATGGGAACATCATTAATGCATTTACTTGAGTATCAGAATTAGCAG